GGGCGAAAGCCTTCTTCCCTTAAGAAAGTGACTTAAAAGTGATTTATCTGTATAAGAAAGCACTGTTAGAACATATAAACGACTTAACTAAATTAGTATTAACTATGTCACACGTTTATCTCCGATCTGCAGCATGACTACACGTATCTTCTACTGTTACAAACATCTGAAAATTTGAATATGTCACTCCATATTTTATACTAAATAATGTAAATCTGTAAACTATATTTTATGTAGTTTACTTGGGCCTTTGTGTAAACCGTGTTTAATAGGGTTTTCAAAGATGATGCCTACTATCCTGAATATATTGAAGTGATACGGAACCAAATTAATAAACCCGTGGGTTGACGTAAACCAGCAAATCGATGTACGTCGAACGTAAAGGAGAAGTAAACTTCAATCCAAATACCCCAGTTCCTTTCCGATTTAATTGACGATTTTGATGCTCTCTTTAAAGTTTACGTAGAATTTTGCCCGTGTCCCTTTTTACCTCAGAGTAGTGTTTTAGGTAGGTTCGATTAATTCTGATCTGCGCTTCAATTCGAATATCTGACAGGCGAACGCGAGAAAAATACTCGGACATTTCGGAAAACGGTGGTTTAAACTGCTCAGGGATCTCAAATCCGAAACTTTCAAACAAAATGAAAATGAATAGCTCGGAATCCGTAACACGAATAAGGGAAATTGGCTTAAAGAAACTCTCAAATCCAACAAGTCAAGCGCAAATGCGACATTAAGGAAGATGAAAGATGGCAAATAAGAGTTTGTTTTATAAATGTTACTGTTTTTTTGGAGGGTGCAACTAAATAGTGTAAGAAAATGTCCAGGTTAACAGTCAATAATTCCCCATTGTTCTGGCCGTGAGGGCCCCAGAGAAATAAAAAGACAGAAGAAAATATGTGTTTTTTTACGTTTCTTTTTACCCTAGGACATTTTACAAAGACAACTGGAGTGTTCTTTAAGGACAGCAACTAAATTTACTTCTTGCCAAAATTTCACGTTTTTTACTATTGTTTTACTGCACAACTGGATCATTTAAAGTAAAAGACCCTACGTCCGTCCCCACTCAGAGGCCCCTATCCTGTGACCTTGAGAAATATTTTTATTTCTAGTGGCGAGCGAAAATGAGCAAGCCATCTGGCCAGGAACAGGCGCCAGGTGTCAGTTCAGAGAATCCTGAAGTTGGGGGAACAAAGGCACGCCCAAAAATTACCTTCATAAATCCGTCCGAATTTTTCGATATTGATCGGAAACCATCCGAAATTTCACCTACTACACCAAATGTGGATTTATATAATCGGTTATTGGGTAGACAGGTGAAATTAGCCCAAGAGCAAGGTGGGTTTACATTTATGTAGTTTCAGATTCAAGTTTTGTTTCACGCACAAAATACATTTTTTTGAAATGTAACTCCTGTATGCTCCTTCTGATACAGAGTCTGTGTCATCCCCGGAACCCACCGAGGCAAAGCCGAGGAAACGTCGCCAACGCGAGAAAAACAGTCGAACTAAGCACAAAAAGCGTCCAGTTGACCCGAAATGTCCATGGCTGGAAAGCGATGATGAGGTCGATTGTGCTATCCCTTTGGATGACGATTCGGATGACGACGCATTTCTTCAACGACTAGTTGAAGAGAAAGAAAGGGAGGAAGCCGAAGAAGAACGCCGGAAGCAAGAGGTATGTTCGCATTCGTCGCTCCGACTCATGAACAGCTAAATACCGAATTATCTCTCTTGCATTACAAATCTCCTGATCTTCCGGCAAAGTTGCGTACGCATGGTACCATGCACGTTGCTCTTCCTTATTCCTCGTTTTCATAGAATACTTTATTCCTTCAAAATTTCTCAATCTTTTATTTCATTGTTGAGTCCGAACGTTTCTGCTGCATATGTTGTTTCCCATAATACGACTTACTTTTTTGCTTGGATATTTGTTCCCTATGTTCGGAGGAATTGCGTCCCCTTATTGTCCTTTGTAAATTCTTTAATATAAAACTTGCACATTCACTTTTATATGTATATGACAAGAGTTTTGCTTCATTCTTATGATATCACAGGCTGCTCGCCTACGCCAACTAAAAGCTGCACAGAAGAGAGCTCGTTTCACTGGCAGAGTTGGTCGTCCTCGTGGTGGTTCCTCTATGATTTCACGTGTCCTCATTCCTCCAGTAGATGATCGTCAGGTAAACAAAGTAGGCTTTTGAGTTATCGGTATCATATGGTCACCTAGAACCGAAAAACAAACTATTCTGCTTCCCTTTTAGTCCACTCGACCTAGCGAGACCAGCGATGATGAACGCGTGTCTAGTGTAAACACTGGGGAAGACGATCCTTTGGATATGGATGATGCAGAGCGCCTCTCATCTGCCCAGCGTTCCGAATTCGATGAACTTCCTCCTCCTTCTGTTGAGAATGAAGATTCCGAGATGGGTAGCTCAGTCGCCCTTCAGAGCTCAGACGAACACTCGGACTTACTTGCTACAAAAATGGATCCTATGACTCTTCGTCGCTGTGCTCCATGTCTCACCCTGCCACCCTCCTCCTCTGACCTCCTTTGTCCAACCGAGTACCTGCTTGACGTGTTGTCTACATACGAGTGCCTTCGACGTTATAGCCGCCTCCTCAGACTGTCTCCTTTCCGCTTGGAAGACTTTTTGAGTGCTCTGGCTGCCAATGAAAATTCTGCCCTCCTTGCTGAAGTTCACATTGCCCTCTTGAAGGCCCTTGTCCAAGAAGACGAAGCTAATGGTACCCAGTTGTGCGCACCTGACTGCAAAGATGTCTTATCTCTGACTTTCGCCTTTCTCCTCGACCGTTACACCTGGCCTCATATTCTTGCCGCCTACTTGTTGTCCATAAAGAAGGGTGAACCTGCTGCTTTGGCCTCTGTGGAACGTCTGGCCAGCCTCAGTGCTTCTGCAGCCACCGCGGCCGGAGGGAACCCCTATGGGGGACCCTCTTGTGGGGGTGGTGCCGATGTCGTCCTCACTGCTGCTCTTTTTGAAGAGGATCTCATCCCTCTGGACCCAGCATACCCATTTGTGGACATAAGACAGCGCGTGGGCATCTTACGTGGTTTGGTCGGCCTTTTTCTGGCCACGGGGCCTGTTCGAGGAGACATGCTGCACGAGGGCTTTACCGCCCACGATGATTACTGCCGAGTCTGCCGACAGTGAGTTTCCATTTTTCATTTTGTAACTCCGAGAGTTTTCAGTGTACTACTTCTCACTTCGAAAAAAAGGTGGATTTTTGTTCTTCGACCTCTATATATTGTGTAGCTTACAGTGTTCCCCGTAACATTTTTATACGAATGAACCCTTTTGTCAGCAATATTCCATTATATCACGTAACTAGGCTCTCATATTTTCTGCGTATTCTCTGCATACTTTGGTAATCTCTTAGATACCGAGGCAGATCTTATCTGCACCATTCACAGTTAACCGTAGTTAACTTCCACATGCCTACTTGGAGAAAAATGGACCAACTTTAGTGTTGAGTTTAACCTGCTGAAGGAGGACAGCCAAAACACTACTTGCATTCGCTTTTTGATTTTTTTGCGGGTTTTGTAGAATCTACTAAGTTTTGCTTTTTTATGCGGCCTTGCATTGTGATAAAACTACATTGTCTCTATGAGCTAGGACACATTTATCACATAACATGTCGTCGATGTTCGGGATGCACGTTTCTTGTATCTGGACCGCCTCTTTCTGAGGAACGTACTAATGCTGTGTATATAGAGGTAGACGCGTTGCCTTTGGCACCGTTCCTTTCTACGGCTATCTGCAAGGGTTCTTTCGGCAAGGGAGACCTAAGAAACTCGTCGCATATGACGCAATGGGGAGAGCTGAATAACTTGTCCACTTCACATCCCTCGTTCAATCAGACGCCTGAGAAACCAGCTGACGAA